TCTCTCTCTCTCTCTCTCTCTCTCTCTCTCTCTCTCTCTCTCTCTGTGTGTGTCTGTCCACCCCTAAATGTCCTCCTTGTTTTGACAGAAAAATCCGGCCGTCAGATTCTGGCACCAAAGTCTTTGGCTTTCGTCAACGGGACGTGCTGAAGGGACAAATCTACTACCGTCACCATGGCAACGAGGTGTTCAAAGACTCCTTCACCTTCACCTTGCAGGACCACCAGGAGCCGCCCAACGAGTCCGAGGCCATGGAGTTTGAGATTCTGGTCACACCCATGAACGAGAACCCGCCCCAGATAGACCCCGATGGTGAGTGACCCGCTATATAGTGACACGGATCTCTTCCTTCTTACATCATATAAAGCTTGTCATCAAGAACTTTATATTCCATGCCACTTTTGCATACAACTTTCCATCTTCTCACATCTACCCCACAACCTTCCATCATTTCTACTCCACAACGGAACAATTTCACATCAGACTTGAATGAATGTCCTCATTTAGCTTGCTTATGAGTATAATGAATAACATGGTCGCTGAAATAAGAGCGAATAGAATCTTTTCTGCCCAAGACATCAGTATTTCTCTCTCTCTCTGTCTCTCTCTCTCTCAGTCTCTCTCTGTCTCTCTCTCTCTCAGTCTCTCTCTGTCTCTCTGTCTCTCTTTCTCTCTCTCTCTCTCAGGCTCTCTCTCTCTCTCTCTCTCTCTTTCAGTCTCTCTCTCTCTCTCTCTCTCTCTCAGTCTCTTTCTCTCTCTCTCTTCTTCTCTCCCTCTCTCTCCCCTCTCTCTCTCTCCCTCCCCATTTCCTCTTATCCCTCCTCTCCCTTCCTCCACCCTCCCTCTCTCCCTCTTTCTCCCTCTCTCCTTCTCTCCCTCCTTCTTTCCTTCCCCCTCTCCCTCCTTCTCTCCCTCCCTCTCTCCCTCCTTCTCTCCCTCCCTCTCTACCTCCTTTTCTTACTCTTTCTTCCCCTGTCACTCTCTCCCTCCCTCTCATCCTCCCTCTATTCCTCATTTTGTCCATCCCTCTATTCCTCCCTCTCTCCTTCCTTCTCTCTCTCTCCTTCCCTCTCCCCCCTCTCCCTCCTTCTCTGCCCCCC